TTAGAGGGAGTGGAGGAGGAGGAGGAGGAGGGAGCAGGGAGGGAGCAGGGAGGGAGGGAGGGAGGGAGGGAGGGCGGAGGGAGGATGAGGGAGCGGAGGGAGGGAGGAGGAGGAGGAGGAGGAGGAGGAGGAGGAAGGAGGAGAGGAGGAGGAGGACGAGGTGCAGAGGAGGAGGAAGAGGCGGAGGAGGAGGAGGAGGAGGAGGAGGAGGAGGAGGAGGAGGAGGAGGAGGAGGGAGGAGGAGGAGAGGGAGGGGAGGAGAGGAGAGAGGAGAGGAGGAAGGCGCAGGACGCAGGACGAGCAGGAGGAGGAGGAGGAGGAGGAGGAGGAGGAGAGAGGAGGAGGAGGAGGAGGAGGAGGAGGAGGAGGGAGGAGGAGGACGAGGAGGAGGACAGGAGGAGGAGGAGGAGGAGGAGGAGGAGGAGGAGGGGAGGAGGGGGAGGGGAGGAAGGAGGGAGGAGGGAGGAGGGAGGAGGAGCAGAGGGGGAGGATGGGGGGAGGGGGGATGGGGAGGAGGAGGAGGAGGAGGAGGAGGAGGAGGAGGAGGAGGAGGAGGAGGAGGAGGAGGAGGAGGAGGAGGAGGAGGAGGAGGAGGAGGAGGAGGAGGAGGATGAGGAGGAGGAGGAGGAGGAGGAGGAGGAGGAGGAGGAGGAGGAGGAGACGAGGACGAGGGCGAGGGGTAGGAGACGAGGAGGAGGAGGAGGAGGAGGAGGAGGAGGAGGAGGAGAAGAGAAGGAGGAGGAGGAGGAGGAGGAGGAGGAGGAGGAGGAGGAGGAGGGAGGAGGAGGAGGAGGGAGGAGGAGGAGGAGGAGGGGGAGGGGGAGGAAACGGATGAGGAGGAGGAGGAGGGAGGAGGGCGCAGGACGAGCAGGACGAGCAGGACGAGCAGGACGAGCAGGACGAGCAGAGGAGGATGAGGAGGAGGAGGAGGAGGAGGAGGAGGAGAGGAGGAGGAGGTCGTGGAGGAGGAGGAGGAGAGGAGGTGGAGGATGGGAGGAGGGGGACGAGGAGGATGGGAGGATGGGAGGAGGGGGAGGAGGAGGAGTTGGAGGAGGAGGAGGAAGACGAGGAGGAGGAGGAGGAGGAGGAGGAGGAGGAGGAGGATCAGTTTAAGCCCAATACCCATCAACGACGTTTGGAATACACCCTCCCTCCCAGCTTCCTCTTCATAGGCCCGTACGGGGTTCACCTCCACTAGGGGAATTGCCCCATAGGGGGACTGCGGTGTGAAAATCCTGAAGCGTGCCAAAACATGATTTTCAGGATTCAGCGCCACGAGTTGACCTGATTGGCACGTCCTGGCGACCCAGAATCGTGACATAACACCATTCGTGGGACTAGAACACCGCGAATCAGCGTAGCATTTGCGCTCTGACAATATTGAATCGTTTCAGAACGCAATTTCTGGTACGGTACCCATGAGAACCAGTGAAACTTTTGTAATTTTCCAAAACGAATGTGCGCGGCGCTAAGGCGAGAGCCACATGTTGAAAACGATCCGTCCTCAATATGTGAAGCTCTTGCACATATTTAGACGAGTGTGCGCGGCGCTGAGGCGAGAGCCACATTTTGAAAACCACCCGCCCTCAGTCTGAACCTTTGAAAACGAATGTGCCCGCCGCTAAAGCGAGAACCACGTTTTGAAAACGATCCGTCCCCAATCCGTGAAACTTTTGCAAATGTTTAAAGCGAGTGTGCGCGGCGCTCAGGCGAGAGTCACATTTCGGAAACGACCCGCCCTCCATCTGTGAAGCTCAGGATCATAAGTGGTGAGGAAATCTCAGGCGAAACGCCCAGCCCGCCCTTTCGACTGGCCTCGGGGTGCCATTGTAGATGCGTACCAGATAATTTTTGAAGGTGCTGCAGAATTTCTCGCGGAGTTGCCACTCACCCGCAAACTGTTTGGGGTCCTCGGGCGCATCCCAAGCAGGCTACACCTCGCCCGTTCGTGGTTGCTCATCAGCCTGTTTTGAAAGGCACCCACTTCATATATTTCATATGTCTGAGGAAGGCCCGGCATCTTTCCAAAGTGAATTATGCCGAGACTTTTTCTTTAGAGACCTGATCGTGCGCTTTGTCATTGGATGGGTGGACGGCAGTAGGCTCCCAATGAAATACTGTATTCGATGCGGGGCAGAGGTGCGACGCTGAGTGGACCCTGCTCAGCCGCCCGCAACTCCAGTCCGGGGTTAGAAAGCTTCGGAGGGGAGTGGGTCCTGGCACCCAGCTCAAACTGTTGACGCTTCGCGAATCCCCACCAGCCCATCCAGAAACGATGCCCAGAGGAATTGCCTCGATCAGGGAAGTGGGCAGCACACAGAGGAAGCCATTATGCGACATCTTGGGGTATCTTGAACCATCTTGGAGGTCATCTTGGGCTCTCCCAGGCGCCCTTGGAGTCATCTTTATCAGTGCCCCCCCCCAAGAGGCCAACATGCGGCTAAAACCTTCGTAAAGTCAATGATTTGGCATTATCGCCGAGGCCTCTTGCAGCATCTTGGGTGCCTCTGGGGGGTCTCTTGGGGCCTCTTGGGGGTTTCTTGGGAGCCTCTTGGGGGCATCCTGGGGGCCTCTTGGGGCTTCCTGGCCACCTCTTGGGGCCCTCTTGGGGCCCTCTTGGGGCACCCTTGGGAGCCTTGGGGGCCATCCTTGGGCCATCTTGGGTGAGATCGATCACAGGAGGGGGGGTGCCCAATTAGCGTCCCCCCCCAGGAAGCCAAAATGGGGCCCAAACCATAGTGAAACCAATGATTTTGGCTTCCTCGCCGAGGCCAGTTTGGACGCTCCGACGACGCGAAACCCCCTGTCCAGGTCCAGGGGAGGGGGTAGGGGGAGGGGTAAACCCCCTCCCCGAAAGGGAAGAAGGAGGGGTGGAAGAGGAAACTCACTAAACCACCGACGCCCAGAGGGCTGGTGGGATTTGGGAAGGTTTCCACTGTCTCGTTTTGAGGGTGACTTGCCAGTGATGCGACTCAGGTGAGTCCGTCTCTGCTTGGCTGCCTTTCCCAGCTTGGCCTTTGTGCATGCACGACCAACCTTCAGAGTTCCGAGTTCCGATGAGGATGATTCGGCGGCGAGCGAGGGGGGGAAATGAGAAGGAGAAAGCCTTCTCAGAAGGCGGCGGGATTTCTCAGAAGCCCTCGCGCCTTCTGAGAGGTTTTTTGTGTCTTCGGGGAAGGCTCAAAACACTTTTCAGAAGGCCGGGAAACTCCCGAGTCTTCTGAGAAGGCCCGCCCCTTCTCACTTCCCCCCAGGGCGCGCCGCCTAATGATGAGGAGGAGATGGAGGAGGGAGAGAGGGGGGGAAGCGGTGGAGGGGGCCAGAGATAGAGAGAGAAAGACTGCTTCGGGCAGGGGAGAGGCAGGTCGCTATTCCCCGAGATGCCCGGCGTCGGCAGGGGACTGCCGCTCAGAGGCCGCCTCTCTGTCTAGGCCTCCTCGATGTGGTCCGTGTAGATGGGGTCCGAGGATCGTGCTGCATGGCCGATGCATCGGCGATGCAGCTCGATGCGGGGCCCGAGTTTCTCCATGCTGGCGTCGCCGGTGCATCGCCGATGCATCGCCGATGCATCGCCGATGCGTCGCCGATGCGTCGGCGATGCGGCGCGATCCTCCGACCCCATCTGCTCGGCCCCTCTCTAGGAGGTCTCTCTGCTCTGGCAGCCGGCGCATCTTGGATCTTGGGGGGACGCGGGGAGCGAAGCGGGGCCTCCCGCGCCTCCCGCGGTCCGCGGGGGTGCGCCTGAGAGAGAGAGCGGCCCCTCTCCGAAGGGGGGGCGGCGCGAGGGCGCGAGGCCGGGCGCGCGCCCCGCACGGCGCGCGGAGCGCGGGAGCTGCGCAGGCTGCCGAGGCAGTTGCCAGGTGTTGGCGGCGCGCAGAGGGGGGGCAGGGGGAGGGGGGGAGGCTTCTTAGAAGCACCCCTGCTTTTTAGAAGGTGCGGGCCTTCTCTGCAGAAGGTGCGGCCTTCCCCCCTCCCCCTACCCCCTTCTGCTCGCCGCCGAAGGTGGGCGGCCGAGGCGATGGCGTGGCCTGGGACGCAGCTCGTGGGAGGTCCGGTTCTGGCTCGGCCCTGGTCCGAGAGCCCGATTCCTCCGGCTTCCTCCCGTGGAATCCGGCTCAATCCCGCTCCGTCCGGCCGAATCCTGCTCAATCCGCGGCCTGGTCCGGCGCAGCAGCCCCCCCACATGGGGTTCAATCCTCCGCAGTCCTGCCGACGGAGACCTCGCGGCAGTTGCCTCTTCAGGTGGCCGGGGTACGCAGGTGGGTTCGCTGTGCTTCGGCCTGCCCCGCCGCTGCTCCACCGCCGTCCGGCTCTGCCATGCGGCCGTGGGCCAGCAACAAGTGCGCGGGTGGCCGGGGTGAGCGCCCCGCCCCCCCCCCCTGCGTTCCAGGGGGCCCTGGTCCCGCCTCCTGGAGCGCCCCCAGGGAGCCCGCGCCGCGTCCCCTCGAGCCCTGACAGGCGCGTCCCGGAGAGCGCGCAGGGGGGGCCTCCGGGGTCTGTCGCAGGGCCCCCCCCGACAGGCCTCATCACAGTTTTGCCACACCCAGCTGTCGATGCCCTCCCCGATGATCAATGCTGGCGTTGGGTTGAATGAGTTGCCCTGCGACCGCAGTCTCCCCCGATCGCGCCAGCTCTGAAATCGGGAGGAGGGGTGTGTGTCCACTAGTTTTTTCCATCTGCCGCACGGGGGTCCTGGAAAGGCCCTCAGACCAGACGACCCCGACGTTTCCCCCCCAAAACTCCACGACCCCCTGGAGAGGAGTTCCTGAGGGCCCCCATGCGCCAGCCAGGGCGCCAGACGTGGCCGAGAGCAGTTGCAGGCCACGGGCCCTGGGGCAGCTTTCCCGTTCTGCTGTCTCGAGTGCACGGCCGTGAGGAAGTGCCGAATCGGCGGAGGGCTGGGTGGCAGGATCGGTGGGAACGGGTGCAGTGCAAGTGAGCCAGTGTAGTGCTTTCTGCTGCATGCCCCTATTTTCGTGCACGCGCATGCGGCAGCGAAGGTGGTGTTCAACCCGCACAAGAGGTTGCGCTTTGCCAAGATGGAGCATGGCGAGGCCGGCCGCAGCCTCTGAGCGTCTTCCTCTGAAAACCCGCATCGCGGTCGGATAGTATGTCAAATCTGCTGCCCAGATCTCCTGCCTGGCCTGGACCGATTTCTCGTTGTGTTGTTGTGTTCGGCGGGGGATCTCCCTGGCCCCAGCTATTCGACGACGACGCCGGCGTAAGAGCAGAACCGAATCTGGGAGCCTCCTAGCCTGCCAAGCCAAGCCCTGCGGCTCCTGTGAACCTTTAGGGGGCCACATGCGAACCCTACCCCTACCCCCCACGATTTCTGAGGGGGAGGGTGGGGTTCACTTCGCTCGGGAGCTCCCGAACGAAGTGAACCCCACCCTCGCCCTCAGAAATCGTGGGGGGTAGAGGTAGGGTTCGAATGTGACCCCCTAACGTTCTGTGGGTCCTGGGCCAAAAGCCTGGCATTGACCGACCGGTGGTGGTGTGTCAGCAGCTGTTGCAGGCGCCAGCTCTGTGCTTTGGAAGTCCTCGAACCCCTGCCCAAGGCTAAGGCTCATGGATACGTGCCGCCTGTGCGGGTTGCGACCCAATCGATAGCGTGTGGCTGTCCACGGCTCAGCAACAGCGCCCAGAGCAGGATTCGAATGTCTGGCCATCTTGATACAAACATTTCGTGGGGGACACGGCCCGACAAGCCTTTGGTCTGCTCCTGGGCTGTCTGGGGGATCTCTTGGGGCCGTCTGGGAGCTGTCTTGGGGGCCTCTTGGACGATCGTTGGGCTCTCTTGGGCCGTCTTGTGGCTCTCTGGGCTGTCTTTCGGGTCTCTTTTGGCTGTCAAAGGGCCGTCTGGGGAGCCCTATTCGGCTGTCTTTAAGCCCAGTGGTGGTGCGACTGCTGCAAGTACCCCTGGTGCAACGTATGCCACATCACAGTTTTGCCACACCCAGCTGTCGATGCCCTCCCCGATGATCAATGCTGGCGTTGGGTTGAATGAGTTGCCCTGCGACCGCAGTCTCCCCCGATCGCGCCAGCTCTGAAATCGGGAGGAGGGGTGTGTGTCCACTAGTTTTTTCCATCTGCCGCACGGGGGTCCTGGAAAGGCCCTCAGACCAGACGACCCCGACGTTTCCCCCCCAAAACTCCACGACCCCCTGGAGAGGAGTTCCTGAGGGCCCCCATGCGCCAGCCAGGGCGCCAGACGTGGCCGAGAGCAGTTGCAGGCCACGGGCCCTGGGGCAGCTTTCCCGTTCTGCTGTCTCGAGTGCACGGCCGTGAGGAAGTGCCGAATCGGCGGAGGGCTGGGTGGCAGGATCGGTGGGAACGGGTGCAGTGCAAGTGAGCCAGTGTAGTGCTTTCTGCTGCATGCCCCTATTTTCGTGCACGCGCATGCGGCAGCGAAGGTGGTGTTCAACCCGCACAAGAGGTTGCGCTTTGCCAAGATGGAGCATGGCGAGGCCGGCCGCAGCCTCTGAGCGTCTTCCTCTGAAAACCCGCATCGCGGTCGGATAGTATGTCAAATCTGCTGCCCAGATCTCCTGCCTGGCCTGGACCGATTTCTCGTTGTGTTGTTGTGTTCGGCGGGGGATCTCCCTGGCCCCAGCTATTCGACGACGACGCCGGCGTAAGAGCAGAACCGAATCTGGGAGCCTCCTAGCCTGCCAAGCCAAGCCCTGCGGCTCCTGTGAACCTTTAGGGGGCCACATGCGAACCCTACCCCTACCCCCCACGATTTCTGAGGGGGAGGGTGGGGTTCACTTCGCTCGGGAGCTCCCGAACGAAGTGAACCCCACCCTCGCCCTCAGAAATCGTGGGGGGTAGAGGTAGGGTTCGAATGTGACCCCCTAACGTTCTGTGGGTCCTGGGCCAAAAGCCTGGCATTGACCGACCGGTGGTGGTGTGTCAGCAGCTGTTGCAGGCGCCAGCTCTGTGCTTTGGAAGTCCTCGAACCCCTGCCCAAGGCTAAGGCTCATGGATACGTGCCGCCTGTGCGGGTTGCGACCCAATCGATAGCGTGTGGCTGTCCACGGCTCAGCAACAGCGCCCAGAGCAGGATTCGAATGTCTGGCCATCTTGATACAAACATTTCGTGGGGGACACGGCCCGACAAGCCTTTGGTCTGCTCCTGGGCTGTCTGGGGGATCTCTTGGGGCCGTCTGGGAGCTGTCTTGGGGGCCTCTTGGACGATCGTTGGGCTCTCTTGGGCCGTCTTGTGGCTCTCTGGGCTGTCTTTCGGGTCTCTTTTGGCTGTCAAAGGGCCGTCTGGGGAGCCCTATTCGGCTGTCTTTAAGCCCAGTGGTGGTGCGACTGCTGCAAGTACCCCTGGTGCAACGTATGCCGCTAGACGCCGAGGCTGGCGTCAATGAGACACATCATGGAAAGCAGGCCATGATTGTCATGTCCGAAGTGCAGGACATTTGAGTGCAGCAAGTGCGAACCACTTGTACTTGGCAAGGAAGTGCGAACAAGTTGTGCCGCAATCTGCAAGAAATGAAGCCCCTGCGTAGAGCAGTGCTCGTATAGAGTGAATCGATGGGAGAATCGAGCGGATATGGCGTGGCGTGTGACACAGAAAGGTCGATTGCTGGGCCCATACTTGCCTTCTGTCGCTCGGCAGCAGATCTACACTGAACGCGATGTTACCGCTTCCTTTGTGCTGCTCGCCACGCTGGCTGACGCCTTCCCAGGGGTCCTCTCCCTGCTGCTGCCGTTGCTCCTCGCCCCCAGTGGTGTGTGTGTGTGTTGGCTCGGGAGCGGACCACACATTCGCACCTCTCGTGTGCTGTGCGTGTACTCTTGCGATGGCTCGCTCCCGAGAGCGCAATGGACTCAACTCGTGCCCTTGTTCACTTCTGAGTGCGCTTCCTGCCGCAAGATACGGCTCATTGCTCCTCGTCTCCTGCTCGCATTGGACAGTGTGACGAGATCGCTTGGGGGGACACCAGCCATGCTGCGGACGCTGAAGTGGCATGTCTGTGCCCGGCGGATCGTGGCATCACGTATTCGAACTCACCTTGTTTCTTCTTATGCCAGATCGTGGCGTCGGGGGAGCATGCTTGACAATGGAAACTCAAACCCACCGTTATTCGATGGATGTCGATGGCTTCGAGAAGGGAAGCTCAGAGAGTATGTACGGGGGGACGTGGCTGATAGAGCCCACGCATTTCTTTTGTACGGTGGACCGTGGCCCCGCGATCGCGAGTCCATAGCTGTAGTGAGGCAACGCCGTCTGGGCATTTTTTCTTCAGTGGGAGCGTGGTCCAAGGAGCTAATACATGTGTTTGTCAGGGGGATCATAGATTCGGGGATCTTACCGTTCATGCTCCATTGTATGGGGGATCGTGACGACGGGCGCTAAAACACTGTGTGTGTGTGTGTGTGTGTGAATGTGTGTGTGTGTGTGTGTGTGTGTGTGCGTGCGTTTTGGGGGGATCGTGGCATCGGGAGCGCACGTTTTTTATTTGTGATTTGGGATCGTTGCCCCAAGAGCCCAATATTTTTCGTGTCCAGGGATCGTGGCCTCGCAAGCGCGAGCACATGTTTTTCCATCCCAGGGGGATCGTTGCCTCGGAAATAGGGCGCGGCCCCCAGGACCGAGGAGCATTCTGCGCCCTTCCCTCCAAACCGGCTGGACCGGGACCCCAGGGACTTGTTGGAGCTCGAGGAGGGAGCATCTTGCGCAAGCCGACACTCTCCGAGGGGTCGGCGCATTCTGTCCGTGGTTGGGTATGGCGCGGCTCGGGTTGTCGGCTCCCAGCAAGGCCTCAGTTTCAGGTGTCCTTCGACGATTCTGGGGCGGATTCAGGTCCACGAGCATCGAGTGGTTCAATATCTGGTGGATCCCCTGACATCGATTTGCTCGATACCAGGGAATCTCTGGATCCCTCATGCGTCCTCCCCAGACCTCCGACGTTTGATGTTGTCAGTGCGCGGCTCCCAGAGCTCTTGGCCCCTTGATGCCGGATAGATTTTAGGCGGTGCGAGGGCCCAGAGATTGCATCCAGAGGCCGACAACGTCGCGAAATTTTCCGCCATGCTTGTTCATGTCATGGGATGTGCTTGGGTGGGGGGAGACGGTGAGGAGAGCGCACGCTCCGACAGCCCTCACCCGCCTGCTCGTTGCGCCCGCTCCCGCCCGCCGCGGGGCCCCGCTCGGCCGCGGAGGACAACGAGATCAAGGGCGACGAGGACAGCATCACGAAGCTGCTCGACAAGGCCCGCGCGCGAGCGGGGGGACGAGGAGCGGGGGCACGAGGGCGAGCGTCGGAGAAAGACATATACCGATGCCACTGCCTTCGTTGTTCGCCCCTCTGGGCCTCCAGGGGGGAATCCCTCATCTCATCGCCACAGCCGGTCGGAGAGCGGTCCTGGTCTGAACGTGCCCCAGGAGAGGTCTGGGTAGTAGCGGCATCGGTGTCTTGTGACCCCCCCCCAGAACGATTACGAAACACCTCGCGAAGCACTTGAACGAGGACTCATACAGAGGCGAAGCACTTGAATCTGCAGAATCTGCACCACTCCAGTAAATCGAGCAGGGGATCGACTACATAATATATTTGCCCCAAAGGTGGACATTTTCGTAGAATCCACAGAGAGTATGTAGAATCTTCGTGTATCCACTGCACATTCCGCGTATGTGTTTTTTTGCAGATTCGACTAACAAGCCAATTTTGGGGTGCATTAGTTCTGCAGTCGATCCCCTGCTCGAGAGAAAAGACCCTGTGCACATCTGGCAGCTCTGGGCAGCCCGGACACGCGGACCGCCTGGCAGCCCGCCCGTACCTCGCCAGGGCGCATCTGGACAGAGGGGCCGCCACGAGGGCACGAAGTTGCTCAGTAGGCCCACGCCATCCCGCCCACCCCCGCGAGGAGGCCGGGAGCGCAGGGAGGTTGTGCGGTGGTGTCTGCCTCTTCCCCTGCCTGCCTCTGATGGGGCCTCTCTGGGAGCGGTCTCTCTGGGGCGCCTGGGTGATTTTTTGGGGGGGCCTCTTGGGGGGGGGGGCCTCTCGGGGCACCCGGACAGTTTTGTCGGCGGGGCGAGAGCGAACCTCTTCCGCTAAAAGCTAGGCGGGCTACGCACAGCTTTAATTAGGGAGACGGCACAGGAAGGCGGGGCCTCAGGCGGCCGGAGCGGGCGGAGCCCGGGGTGCAGGCAGAACCCTGGGGCACTTGGACAGGAGAGGGCCGCCACGAGGGCGCGCGAAGTCCTCGGTGCTCAGCGGTGCGCGGCCTGCTCCCCTCCTCCCCGTTCCCCCTCCCGGCTCTGTGCGAGCGCACCGAGCAGCTCCGTACACCTCTAGAAGAAGAAGAAGAAGAAGAAGAAGAAGAAACAAAAAGGAACGCCACAAGCACAAACTTTTGGCGCTCCGCGCGGATTTCTTGGCTTCGCGCTGGGACTCCCCTGGCGGCGCCTCCGGTGCCGCCCCCTGGCGCGCTCCGCGCGCCAGGGAGGGGGCCCAGCGCAGATCCAAGAAATCCGCGCGGAGCGACGAACGCTTGTGCTTCTGGTGTTTTTTCTTATTCTAACCTCGCCTCTTGCTGCTGCGGTCCGCCATCGCTGTCCATGTACAGAACGAGAGATGTGGGTCCACGGTCGCGCCTTATCCCCTTTCTTGGCGCTCCCCATCCTCCTCGCCCTCCTCTGTTCCTCCCAGGGGTGCCGCGATGTCGCGAAGTTCTTCGCGCTTCGCGCAGCGCGGAGCGCGGAGCGCGACCTTGGCTGCCCGCGACTTCAGCTGCCCTTGGACACCCTGAACACCACACCAGACGGACGACCAGCACATCCCTTGGGCATCCCGAACACCACCCCCGTTTCCCCAGCACTCCAGGCACTGTTGAGATGCTCGTGCGCGCCCAGATTGGCTCCTCCGTCCGCATCCCTCCCCTGTCCTCCGCCCGCCCCCTCCTGCTTGGACGGGCACTGCTGCGACGCCGACGCAGGGCAGGGCCAGATTCGAGCAGCGACCGAATCACGACAACACGAGCACAGCAGCTCGAACGACTTGCGATACATATCAGCCGCTGAAAGTACTGAGCGGCAGCGCTCCCCTCCCGTCCTCCTCTTCGAATCCTCCTCATCTTCTTCCTCGACTCGTCTTCTCAACCGTCCGTCTCAACCATTTTCCTCCACCGTCATCTTCACTTCCTCCGCATTCGTCCTGGTGCTGTACCCGCTCCTTCTCTTCCTCCTCCTCCCCCTTCAGTGCACAAAGCTCCCTCCTATCTGCTATAATCTGGTCGGGGGAAGTGGGAGGAGGTGGAAGGAGGTCTGTTACAGCGCTGGAGCGGGCAAGAGAGCAACATAAGAAGAAAGTTCGTAGGCTCTCTCCCATCAGACAAGCCTTGCTCTGGCCAGCTTGGGGCAAAGATGCCCTGGCTTCGACGGTTGCGCACTACCTTTGCTATGTCTTTGGTGGGCATGCTCTCCGTATGTGGCCCCGCAACTGCGCCACAGCGGTGCTTCCGTGGTGCCCGATGGTGGCGATGGCTAGATGCTCGTCCTGGGCCCACCTGACGGATCTGTTCGGCTCTAGTTCGACGTCAGTTCGACTCAACCGCCCAGGTTCGACTCAGGTTCGACTCCAGTTCGCCTCAAATCGACGGACGTTCGACGCAGCTTCGACGCACTAGTGGAGCCAGTGGCTCCAGGAAGGTCCCCAGAGCGAGCATCGAACGATGCCCTTTTGGGAGGACAGTGTGGGTGTGAAGAAGGATTGGCGGCGCTGCCGAGCTCAACCTCAGCGGGAGCTGGGGTGGTGGTGGGCTGCTGTCGCCCAGCTCTCTTCTCCGCCTGCTCCTCGGCCGAGCCAAGAGACGGCAGGATTACCCAGGTTTGGTAAGCGACTTTTCGAGTAGGAGATCGGCTACGGATTTGATTTACCTAAAATTTGACATGTTCGTCGACTCTACGAACATACTCATAATGTTTGCAGTTCTATTCTCATTGTGCATACTTTCTGTAGATTCGACGAACATGTCAATTTTGGGGTTCAATCAATTCTGTACGATTTCTTGCTCGAATTCTGAGCCCCGACAAGGGGCCATTGCTCATACTGTTGGCGTCGCAAATATCGCGTGCGATGTGGCGGCGCTGGGCCCACTTCTTGCACGCTATCCCCCACTCGGGGGATCGTTCGGTAGCAAATCATGGGAGCCTGGTATACCCTCTGAATTCCGTCTTTAGCCTCGATTAGCCTCGATTCGCGTCTGGGAGTCGATGGGATAGCGTCGATTTAGCGTCGGTTAGCGCCGATTAGCGTCGTTTTAGCGTCGAGTAGCGTCGACTAGGCGTCGATCTAGCGTCGATTCGCAAGGACCGACAAGATGGTATGGGAGGCTCCCATGAGTTGCCAGCGAAGGTAGGGGGAGGACTGTATACAAGCGGTATCGTGTAGCCTGTATGCTGTAAGCCGTAAAACCGATCTCCGAAAAGGAAGATTCGAGTGTAAACTTGTATCTTGAGCATGTCTTGTCTGGCACATGTGGTTGATAGCCTGCAAATCGGCTCGTGGATAGCGTGCCACCTCGCTTTGCTTCAAGACGGGTGCCTGTCGGACCGGCCGTCCGTGGGGTTGGCAACCTGGGTTAGCAGCCTCGTTGCGACTGGGCCAGGGCCATATTGGACCTTGATTCTTTGGGCTCAAGCGACGGGGGTCAATGCGAACGGGGGTCAGCCAGAGCGCCAGACCTTGCAGGATTCTGCAGAGCCAAGGGCGCACTGACCCTTGGGTGCAGGATCCTGCGGGCTCCAGCAGAATTTGGCAGGATTCTGCAAAGCCTGACTGACCCAGGTCTGTCTTGACCCGGGTCAGTAGATCTCCGAAGTTCCCTGATGGCTGCCAATTGCACAGCCGTCGCCAGTTGCGTGGGGTCCCCTCGGAGGGTGTCCTTACGGAGGTTCAAACTGCACCTCCCTTGCCTGAGTGTTTGCAGCTGCGCACGCTGTGCTCGTTATCTCTGAGATTGTAGCCTCTGACGAACACTTGCGTGCTACGCTGGTTTGCCCGAGCATATGTGGGGGATAGCGTGCAACATTGGGTTTTGGCATTGTATGCTCGTCCATTTGCTGCCAGTCTGACTAGCCGCCCGCGGGTCAGCAACCAGGGCTGGCCACCTCAGGGTCTCAGATTGGAGCCAGGCTTGGGTGCAGGATCCTGCAGGATCCTGCCTGATCCTGCAAAGCCCGACTGACCCGGCGATGGATTGACCCGGGTCAGCAGATCCCCGAGATTGCCTGATGGTTGCCAGTTGCACAGCTGTCGCCAGTTGCGTGGGCGCCTGGGAGTTTCTGCGGAGAGCGGCCTTACAGAGATCCGAGATCCAAACTGGACCTTCCCTGCCTGAGGGTTCGCAACTGCGCACGCTGTGCTCGGTATCCCTCAAGCGGTATACTCGCACGAACACTTGCGTGCTACCTCGGTTTGCCCGAGCATATGTGGGGGATAGCGTGCGACACTGGGTTTCGGCATCGTATGTTCGTCCATTTGCTTCAACTTGGGGCCAGTCTGACCAGCCGCCCGCGGGTAAGCAACCAGGGCTAGCCACCTCATGCGACCAGGGGTCTCATATTGGATTTCGACTGTCTAGGGGCGTCAAACTGGTGTCCATGGTGTTTTACGTAAGAAGTTTGTGAGGGTCCCAAGCCCAAGAGGAGCTCAAGACGGCTTCGGTACTTGTAGTACGTGTCGCGGCGGCTCATTGAAGCAGTTTTGAAGGGTTGTATCCTCGGGCCTAGTGGACGGAGGCGTCTACGTGGTCATGTTCAAGGCCGCGTGGTGGTAGTACCGTCGCCGCTGTTAGTCGAGGTAGCAGATCCAGCCTGGTGGCAGGGAGGCTGGTTGTTGTACTTTGTCTTCAGGTAGTGGGCGCGACCACAGCGTCTGCTGCGTGACCCTCTGGTCGTTGTATGTCTTACCAGACGTGTCCTTCGCACTCGCCCATCCGTCAGGGAGCTGACGATCTTGATCGTCACGGCGCGCAGCTGGTTGCTGTCGTAGACCTCGTACCTCAGCTGGTTACCCTCGTAGCCGGGTTGGTGGCTCAAGCAGCTGAGTTTGCAGCCCCCGTAGTTCAGCAGGTGCCCGTGGTAGTTCAGCTGGTGGTCCTCGTAGCCTGCTTATGGTTCTCGTAGCCCGCCTCGTGGCCCTTCGCAGCTCAGCCCGTGGCCCTCGTAGATCAGCCGGTGGCGCTCGTTGTTAGCTTGTGGCCCTCGTAGGTCCGCTGGTGGTTCTCGTAGCTCTGCTTGTGGCCGTCGCAGCGCAGCTCGTGGCCCTCGCAGTGCAGCTGGTGGCTCTGCCACCTCTGCTGGTGGCTTCTGGAGCTCTGCCTGTGGCCGTCGTAGATCAGCCCGTGGCCTCGTAGCTCCGCTGGAGGCTCTCGTGGCTGAGCGGTTGGCCCTCGGGGGTCTGCTTGCTGCCCTGGGAGCACAGGTTGTGGCCCTCGTAGATCCGCAGGCGGTCCTCGTAATTCCGCAGGTGACCCTCGTAGCTCTGCTGGTGGCCCTCGAAGCTGAGCTTGTGGCCCCCCTCTCAGTTCAGCTCGTTGCCCCCGCAGTTCAGCAGGGATGCCCTCGTAGCTCTGGCGGTGGATCCCCTAGCTCAGCAGGTGCCCCTGGTAGTTCAGCCGGTCACTCGTGCAGCCGCCGTAACGGAGCTGGCTGCCCTCGTAGCTCAGCTGGTGGACTTAAGTAGCTCGGCCCCGCGGCCCTCGCAGCCCTGCCGCTGGTTCTCGCTGCTCTGCAGGTTGCCCCGAGGCGGGCATGGCCAGGGCCCAGGGTAAGTAGGGCCCCGTCAGTGGTAGGGCCCTGGAGCCCTCTGAATTGGCCAGAATCGCTCAACCAGGTCTGCCGTAGCTGGTGTTTTTCCGGGTGAGGGCAATTCTGGTCAGTGGAACGGGGCGGGGGGGGGGGCGTCGCCCAGTACACATCACTAAATTAGGTCCCGTGATAAACCCAGATCTGCCAACGCACGACTGAGGTAGCTGTGCCAGTGGTTCTAGTAGGACGAGTAGGTCTGCTTGTGGCCTTTGTAGCTCAGCTTGTGGTTTTCGTCGCACAGCTAGTTGCTTTGGTAGTTGCTGGCAATGGCCCTTGAGGCTCAGGCTGTGGCCCTCGTGCATCAAGACGTGGTCCTCGTGGATCCGCTGGTGGCCCTCGCAGCTCAATCGTTCGGTTTTGCAGCTCTGTGTATGGCCCTGCCGATGGCTCCCGAAAGCCTGCCTGTGGCCCTCGCGGCTCGGGCAGCGGCCCTCGCAGCTCCAGCTGGTGGCACTCGCAGCTCAGCCGGTGGCCCTCGCTGCCTTGCTGGCACCCCTCGCAGCCCTCGAGGCCCTGTCCGTGGCTCTCGTGGCTCAGAGCTCGTGGCCCTCATGGCTCGGCCTGTGGCCCTCGCAGCTCGGGATGTGGCCGTCGTAGCTCTCTGTTTGTGGCTCGATGGCCACTGGTTGACGAGGAGGCTGGGACGATCTTCACGACGATGATCGCGCCGCCAGGCGCGCCCTCGCCCGCCGCCTTGCCGCCATCGCTGCTGTCTTTTTTCCACTTGCTTGATAGGTTCCATCATCCAGCGGGAGTCACACCTCCATTCAGGCTGAGTCGTATCGTATCGTATGCTGCGACCGCTCCGTGGGCGGGGGAGGGGGCAGTTCTGCCGAGGGGTGGCCGCCTGAGGCTCGGACGCCTGCTTTTGGCGCACGGCGCCCGACAGGCGGGGAAGGAAGGGCGGCATCTAGCAGAAGGACAATGCGTCGTAGCACGGTCCGTTGTTCCCGGATCCGTCGTACACGTAGCTGTCGTACTCGTTGTCGTTCTTGCAGCTGTTGTGCTCGTTGCTGCCGCTTTATTTGTACTGGTTGCCCGCATTGCAGTCCCACACAGGATCTTGGATGACGATGTAGCTGTCCTGGGGTGGGGGCCCTTCGTGTCGCTGTCGAGCGCCTTCCTCATGTACTGCTGCAGGCATGCGACGTCCCTGCATCGTATGCTGCCTCCTGTCCAGGCAGCGTATCTGGCCCGCCGCCATGCGGCTCCATCCAGCTATGGCCAGACGCCATATCTTCCCCGTCTACCGGATGTGTCTCGCCTGCAGGTCGCAATTTTCCTGTAGATGCACGTGTCGCGGTCGCTATCGCTGTGCGCCGCCGCTTTCTGCCAGGCACGGCGCCGCGCGCCTCCCGCGGCCTCCAGCAGCTGGTCAGCCACCAGCCGCCGCTATGCGCGAGAGCGACGCCGCCAGCCCCGCGTCGGCACAGGTAGAGGTATGGGGGCATCGTCCCCCTCCCCGCGAGGCCATTGCGGCTGTGCAGGCCACCTAGGGCCAGCCCCTGGGGCGCGCCGAGGGGCGCGCGGGGGCGAGTGCGGGAGATTGCTCCCGCATATGGCCCTTGAGCCAAAATGGCTACGGAAGGGTTCTTTGCTCCTCGTCGTCCTCCTCCTCCCTCCTCCTCTCCTCCTCCTTCGCTTCCTCCTCCTCCTCCTCCTCCTCCTCCTCCATCTCCTCCTCCATCTCCTCCTCCTCTTCTTCTCCTGCTTCTTCTTATTATGTTTCTTCTTATTCTTCTTCTCTTCTTCCTCCTCCTCCTCCTCCCTCCCTCCTCCTCCTCCTCCTCCTCCTCCTCTTCCTCCTCCTCCTCCTCCTCCTCCTCCTATTCCTCCTCCTCCTCCTCCTTCTCCCTCCCCTTCTCCCTCCCTCCCTCCCTCCCTCCTCCTCCTCCTCCTCCCTCCTCCTCCTCCTCCTCCTGTTCCTCCTCCTCCTCCTCCTTCGCCCTCCCTTCTCCCTCCCTCCCTCCTTCCCTCCCTCCCTCCTCCTCCTCCTCCTCGTCGTCGTCGTCGTCCTCCTCCTCCTCCTGTGCCCTCCCGCCCATGCCAGTGAACAATAAAGCGAGCCGGATCCTTGATCCCTCGAAGACGGGTCTTTCTTCGGGTCCTTCCTCGAGGGCGCCTGCGCCTCGGGGTCCCAGCGGGCGGGGGCCGGGGCGCCTGGGCCGCAGCAGACTGGGCCGCAGCAGACGCGGTCGGAGGATCGCGCCGCTCCGCCGACGCGGCGCGACCCACCGGTGCATCGCCGGAGCAGCAGCGAGCTGGCGCGATCCTACGACACCGTCTGTCACCACCCACCAAACCACCTCAACCCAACCCGAAGGCCTCAACTTGCCCTCAATTTCCAGTGTGGGTGGGGTTGGGGAACATTGAGAAAACACTCATGGAACCCGTACCCCCCCCAACCCGAAATTCGGGTCTTCGGGTTGGGTTGGGGTGGTCTGGTAGGTAGTCAGTCTGCTCCTCCCTGCGATCCAGGCGCTGCCATTTTTTTCACGCCGGGCGGTTTCGCCGCGTGTCGGGCGCCGGGGCCAGCACGGATCGAGCCGGCTCTGAGAATGCAGCAGCACAACAGGTTTGGGGCGCCCGTGGTGATTCCGCGGTGCAGCGTCGGATCTCGGGGTGCCCCGCTTGAGCGACGCTGCGCAACGGGTTCGACTGCGCGGACACTCGCGCGCTAGCTGCCCGCGTGACGTCGCGCGTGAGCGCGCTCGCTCACGCGCGGCGTGCCGCCCCAGCGGCCCGTGCAAGCCGCTGCGTATGGTCACCGCGTCGTCGCACGCGGGAGCCCTCTCCCAGGGCTCGTGTCGATGTCTCCCGTTCGATTCGATCCGACTTCGATGGCTTCCGCTTCCGATTCGATTCGACTCGACTCCGAATTCCGATTCGGATTCCGATTCCTTGCTGGAGGCTTACCAGCCTGCCGATTTCCGCCGAGTCGACTTCTCCTGACTCCTCCTCCTCCTCCTCCTGCTCCTGCTCCTCCTCCTCCTGCTCCTCCTCCTCCTCCCCCTCCTCCTCCTCCTCCTCCCCCTATTCGATTTTGGGCTCTCCTGCCTCTCCCCCCCGCCGCTCCACCCGGGCGGCCGCCCCGAGGTCCTCGGCGGCGACGCCCGCTTCAAGATCGTGCCCGGGCAGAAGCTGCCCGCCTGGGCGCAGCGGGGGGAGGCCCGCCGCAGCCCGAGCGGTTCCTTCGTGCCCCGCTGCCCTGCGTCGCCGCCGCCGCCGTCGCCGCCGCCGTCGCCGCCGCCGTCGCCGTCGCCGTCGCCGGCGTCATCGTCGTCGTTGTTGTCGTTGCTGTCGTCATTTGTGATGCTTGGCGTTTTTGTGTTCGGTTGTTGGTGTTTCTCCCAGGCCTTTGGAACATCTTCCCGCTCTCAGGGGTGTGGAGTCTGGCCAGGCCCAATGCTCAGCAAGACCCTCGGGGGCACATGTCAGTAGACCATCGAGGGCGTTCCACTACTCGCGAAGTGTCTGCTCGTAAACGTCAGAAAAAAAAACACGTGTCTTCTTCTACGTCATGGATCGCATATTGTTCACCGCTTCGGGATCATTGGATGGTGTAGGTAACCTGCCACGAAGATCGGACAACTCGGCACAAGCGATCGGGATGATGCGAGAGATGAGAGCCTTGGGATGCTTCGGTCTCACGGAGTATTCACGTTTACCTTCTTCTTCTTCTTCTTTTCCTGCGTGCATGGTCGTTCCTGGCCAGGGGCTGGACTCGCTCCTCGTTCTCGGTACTTTGCCTGATGCCATCCAATCCGTGCGCCTCCCTTTCGCTAGACATTATCAAAGTGTGGGCCACATAAGCACTTCCAATGATGACCCTTGTTCTCTCTCTGACTGATAATGCCTTTCCAAACGTTTCCTGCATCCCCCCTCGAAATCAAACGCAAGATTTTCCCGCGACGTGGTGGCGCCCCAGACCCCAACATTTCAATACTCGCGCCGAAGTTGGCGACTGCAAGCACAACGAATGGACTCCGTAGGCCGCGTTTCGCGCGTCGATCAGCATGAACAACTTGGCGCTTGATTTTGAGGAGGGCAGAACCTTCCAGTCCGTGCGCCTCCCTTTCGGTACTTGTTAACAAAGTGTTGACCACATGAGTTTTGCCAATGTTCATAGAGAACAAAAGAACCCCTAACCCCAGTGATACGATGAAGACGTGGCCTCACTGAGGCCCCCGTCTTTGCATTTGGGGCAATCGATCTGGGCGGTTCGGTCTGATACATCTGCAGAACAGATATCCCTAAGGTTTTTGGCCCTCCTGATTTAGAATATTCCCAAAGGCTTAGGGGTACTTCTAGTGCTTATCAAACGATGGCCCTTGACATCTCTCTGACAGCTTATGCCCTTCGAGACGCTTCCTGGGCAGGGTCCTGCGCTGCGTCTGCTGTACCGGGATGCCCCATCTTGAGCGCGGAGCGACGGGCGCCGAGAGCGTTGGCTGTTTTTTTGGGTTGATCTCGAGATGACTCTTGCTCGGAAGCTTGAAGGAGGAGGCCCTCCCTGACTTTCGGGCTTTCGGAAGCTTGACTTTGGGCTTTGACTTTATGAAGCTTGAAGGAGGAGGCCCTCCCTTTTTTGGGCTTTGACTTTCGGAAGCTTGAAGGAGGAGGCCCTCCCTGAAGGCAGCTGGACTTCTCAGAGGCCCTCCGGCCTTCTGAGGGGTTTTGCGTGTCCTCGGGGAAAGCTTACAAAACTTCTCAGAAGGCCAGGGGGCTTCCGAGCCTTCTGAGAAGGCCCGCCCCTTCTCACTTCCCTCCCGGGCTCGCCGCCGAGACTCGTCTCTTCCTCTTGTGTGCCACACGGGCTCTGGCTGGCCTCTCCTTCCCAGCTTGGCAGTGAGCGTCGCGGCAGAGATCGCGCCTGAGGCCCGCGCTGCACCCAGACAGCCACACCAAACTCCGGTGTCGGCGGTCTCCAATCTCTGGGGCCCAATCTGCTCATCCTCCCGCCCCCCCCCCCGTTCCCCAACGGGCAAGAACAGTGCCTCCGCCCTCCCTCCTGCTTTCTCCCCCCTCGCTCCGTCCTCCCCCTCCGCTCCTCCCCCCCCCTCCCTCCTTCCGCCCCAGGCGCCGCCCAAGAAGGAGGGCAAGAAGGAGCTCTGACCGGTCCAAAGACCGCCGCCGCCGCCGCCGCCTCCCCGATGAGCCCCCGGCGCGCGGGCCGCGCGCGGCGCCCCGCGCGGGCTCGGCGAGGGGTGGTGGGCTCGGCCGAGGGCCCCTGTCGGTCCAGCAGAGGGGGGTGTTCGGAGGTAGTGGCGCTCCCCCCCCCCTCCCCCCTCCCCCCTCCCCCGTTTCTCTCGCCCCTCTCCTTCCTCCTCACCCCTCCCTCGTCCATCCCTCCCTCCCTCCTCCCTCTGCTCCCCCTCTTCCTCCCTCCCTTCCTCCATCCCTCCTGCTCCTCCCCACCTCCTCCCTTTCTTCCTCCTTCCTCGCTCCTCGCTCCTCCTTCGCTTCGTCCCTCCTCCTCCTCCTCCTCCTCCTCCTCCTCCTTCTCCTCCTTCGTCTCCTCGTGAGTATGGGTGTGGGTGTGGGTGATGGTGTGCGTGCGCGTGTGGGTGTGGGTGTGGGTGAGGGTGTGGATGTGGGTATGGGGTTGTGTCCTCTGTTTCCTGGTCCAGAGCCTCAATCTTCCCCAAATTCTGGACTGCTGGGGCGCGCTGCTGGCCCGCAAGCTCGAGCGCTGGCGCTTGCAGGAGTCTCGGCGCGCGCTGGTCCAGCGCCAGCAGGGCGTGCAGCGGCTTGGCAGCTTGGTTGCGTCGTGAGTGGCTGCGGCGGTGTGGGGCCTGGCCTGCAACACGTGGTGCTCTTCGAGGCTTCCAGGGCGGGCCTGCTCGCGCACTGGGCTGCGGCACCGTCGCGAACAGCATCGAACATTACGTGGGGTGTACCGTATGCCGCGGGTAGCCTCTCTCTGCGGCTCTGAGGCGACCGCGCCCGCCGTTTTCCGTGCTTCCTCGGCGCGCCGCGCTGCGCCAACGACGGACGCCGAGCGCACCTGCTGGGCCATCCGGGCGCGCGCGTTGCACTTGGTCATCAACCGTAGGCGCCATTTGCAGCAGGTCCCGCTTGGAGGAATGCAAATGTCAATCCACGAAGTGATCCAGCAGCGCCGCGGGGCGGCCGATGGGCACGCTGCTTCCGCGCGGTGTTTGCGCGCGATTTGGCGCGCACCGCAGGCTTCCAACGGTTAGTTCGATTTCCCTCCTCTTTCTCCTCCATCCCCTCGGCCCCTCTCCCTCCCCGTGGCCCCCCTCCCCTGGGCCGTCTCCTTGCGCCTTCGAGCCGCGCCCGTGTCTTCGCAATCGGCGACCAGTGTGTTTTTCAATTGAAGTGCGTCTCCCGGGGCTCGCATTTTTGATATATGTGTATATATATGTGTATATATATAGTGTGGGGTCACCAAACTGCACTCATGGGCCCCGAGTTACAACAACAACAACAACAACAACAACAACAACAACAACAACAGCGGCTCCCGCTTGATAGTTCCTCACTATGTATTTCAAAATTCCGCTCGCGCGCGGGACTTCCCTACACTTTGTGCAGGAATCGCGCTCCCGCGTGGGTCCCCTCGCAAGTGTCGACGCTTCGCGTATCCCCGCCAGACCTCGGTCATACCGCCCTCTGGACTTCTCCTTGCGGGCCGCAAATCAAAAAAAGTATCCCCGCCAGCCAGACCTCTGGCCCCCCGTGGCGACAAGGCCCAATTCACGTACCTGGTGGTTCAGCTCTCATGGTACCCGCACGTTTGCAGCTTCCTGGCAGCCCCAGCAGCTTGCAGTCCCCACCCTCGGCGCTGTTTCTCAGCCTCGGCGGTTGCAGCACGGCCCCCGGCGCAGCTGCACCTCGGCTCCGTCGCGGCGGCTTCCCCCGACGGTAGGTCTGGTTTCCTTGCGCGCGCGCCGGCAATTTGTTTCGTTCGTAGCCCGAGCTGACTCGACCCGCTGCCGGTGCCCTCGCCTGTGGCCGTGAACAAAAATCCCCGCCAGTCCATCCACAAACGATGCCCATGAGAGTTGAATGGGGGGGAGAGGAAGACACACGCATAGTCAAACCGCGAGGGAGGCTAGGGAGGCTCCGTGGCCATCTCGAGCCGTCTTGGAGCGGTATTGGGGCCACTTGGAGCATCTTGGGGACCATCTTGAACCATCATGAGCCAGCTTGGGCTATCTGAGCCATCTTGGAGGTCATCTTGGGCCCTCTGAGGCCGCTCGGGGGCCTCTTGGGGGCCTTTTCGGGTGCCTCTTGGAGTCCCTTTTGGGACCTCTTGGAGCGCTCTTTGGGCCCTCTTGGGGTCTCTTGGGGGCCTTGGGGCTATTTTGGAGACCGTAGGTCAAAAAAAGGGCGGTCCTCGATTTCCATCCCTTCCCTCGGGGGCCACGATCTTCGTGAGCGGTGTCAAAAATTGGTCTTCCACGCGACCCCTTCCCACCAAAATCTCAGGGAAGGGAGGGGGAGGGTTCCCCTCCCCGTTCCCCTCCCCGTTCCCCTCCCCGAAGGGAAGAGGGGTTGAGGAAGAGGAAAAACCATCCTCAGACCACCAGTCGCCCAAAAGGCTGGTGGGATTTATTCAGACGCCGTGCCAATCCCGTGCTCCATGTCCCCCTCCCCCTTCCATCCGTCTTCTCTTCCCTTGTCTTAGGGGCTGCGCCAACGACACGCGGCAGATAAGGAACATCCACCCCGAGAGGGGGTACGATCGAAAATGAAGAGGTCGAGTATCGAGGGTTTGGGGTATATGTGTTGGATGACACGCGAGCACGTAAAAGCGAACAGCCTCAACATGATTGTTGTTGTTGTTGTTGCTGTTGTTACTGTTGTCGTCGTCGGTGTTGTGGTTGTGGTTGTGGTTGTGGTTGTGGTTGTGGTTGTGGTTGTGGTTGTGGTTGTGGTTGTGGTTGTGGTTGTGGTTGTGGTTGTTGTTGTTGTTGTTGTTGTTGTTGTTGTTGTTGTTGTTGAACATTATTACTTCTAAAGAATAATTATTGTTGGGACCCCTGGTGCACGACCCCCCCGCCGCGCCTAGGCCGCAGCCACATTTTCATCATTTTCGTGAGGAAGTCTCAGGCAAAACGGGTTGGTCCGGATCCGGTTGTTTTGTTACGGCCCGCTTTCCCTTGCAAAAAATAAGCTAAAGTGGACATTTCTTGTTCTAACATAACCAAACTTCAAGAATCCCTTGCAAAAAATAAGGTAAAGTGGACATTCGCGCGCGCAAGACGAAATCCTTCCAAAACCTTAGTTTCGTAGCGATTTTATCATAAAAACATCAAAAAAACCAATGGTTTTTCAAAAAAAAATGTCAAAATTCATCCCGCGCGCTCTTGCGGATTCGTAGGAAACCCAACACTTTTTAAACATTTCTGTCAAACGGGCTTTTGCGAGCAACTTTTTCGAACTTCTGCAACAACGGTTGCGCACCTGCCAGGGCCATCATCCCTGTCAAATAATACCATGCGGGACACATTCGTTTTTTCTTCGCGCGCGCACGCCGTCGTCGTCGGCCGCGGGGCCCTGAATAGTAGCCACGGTCGTCCGCATGCCACGAAGTGAAGTGTCCGAACGTCATAGGGCGGGAAGCTGGGTGTGGGTGGTGGCGAAGAGTCGTTTGGAAATTTGGTAGAGCTTGAACCGGCCCCCCCACAAAGTGGGGGTATTGCCCGCCTCCTATGAAAACCCTGGCACTGGTGAGAACGGAGTGTCCCCACGTGCTAGTAATTGTTGTTGTTGTTGTTGTTGTTGTTGTTGTTGTTGTTGTGTTCCCATTTCCGAAGCATAATTATTGTTGATCCCCCTCACCGGTGCATGTTTTTTCTCAATCAAAGTGCACCCCTCGACGCTCGCACCCTGTTTTTTTTACAGGGAAATCCTTGATGCTCAAACTGTGCCCCTGGCCCCTGGGTTACAACACCAACGGCTCCCGCCTTAGATTTCGCCACGGTTTAGCCAGGACCCCCGCTCCCGCCTGAGACTTCCTCGCATTTTATTCAGGAATCGCGCTCTCGCTTGGGACTTCTTTAGAATTTTGGTAGGAGTCGCTTTCTCGGCGCTCTGGAGTCGCGCTCTCGCTGGAGACTTGCTTGCAATTTACTCAAAAATAGCGCCCTTGCGTTGGAACCTCTTGCAATTTACTCAAGCGCCGCGCTCCCAACACTCAGGCACCGAGGAGTCGCGCTCACGTTTAGGACTCCCTCACAGATTATTTAGGAAACCTGGTCTCGCTGCCTTTCGTGGCCCCGTTGCAACCCTTCGTGGCTCCATCGCTGCCCTTCGTGGACCCGTTCCAGCCCTCCGTGGCCCCCTCGCTGCCCTTCGTGGCCCCGTTGCAGCCCTTCGTGGCCCCCTCGCTTTGTTTCGTGGCCCCGTTGCAGCCCTTCGTGGCCCCCGTTGCAGCCCTTCGTGGCCCCGTTGCAGCCCTTCGTGGCCCCCTCGCTGCCCTTCGTGGCCCCGTTGCAGTCCTTCGTGTCCCCCGTTGCAGCCCTTCGTGGACCCGTCGCAGCCCTTCGTGGCCCCCTCGCTGCCCTTCGTGGCCCCGTTGCAGCCCTTCGTGGCCCCGTTAAAGCCCTTCGTGGCCCCATACACGTATGCCTTTCGTGGCCCCCGCTCGTTCGCGCCCGTCGTGGCCCCATGTGCATGCCCTTCGTGGCCCCGCCGGCGCCCTTTGTGGCCCCCTCGCTGCCCTTCGTGGCCCCGTTGCTGTCTTCAGTGGCCCCGTCTTTGCCCTCCGCGGCCCAATATATTTATGCCCTTCGTGGCCCCCGCTCGTTCGCGCCCGTTGTGGCCCCATGTGCGTGCCCTTCGTGGCCTCGCTGTCGCCGTTTGTGGCCCCTTCGCTGCCCTTCGTGGCCCAGTTGCTACCCTCAGTGGCATCGTTGTTGCCTTTTGTGGCCCCGCATTATCTGCCCTTCGTGGCCCCTGCTCGTTCGCGCTCTTCGTGGCCCCATACGCATTCCCTTCGTGTCCCCGCTGTCGCCCTTCGTGGCCTACTTCGTGACCTTGGCGGCCCCGCTGTTGTTCTCTCTCTCGCTCTTCCTTCGTCCCTCCCCCTCCCTTCTTCCCACTGTCCCTCGTTCCCGCCCTCCTCTTTTTGGAGGGCCCACACCAATTGCAATGGCGGGCACATGTACGCCCACGATAGATTGTCCGCCCGTTCAAGTTTGCCCGCCTGTCTAAGTCCGCCGCCCCCCCGCAAAGAGAAATAATCCCCCCAAAGCGGGTGTGAACGAAAACAGAAATGGCGGGTATCGAGGGTGTGGGGACTTCGTTTTGAATGACACGCGGGCAAGTAAGAGTGAACAGTCTTATAACGATTGTCGTTGTTGTTGTTGTTGTTGTTGTTGTTGTTGTTATTGTTGTTGCTGCTGCGGTTGTTGTTGTTGTTGTTCTTGTCGTCGTCGTCGTTGTCGTCGTCGTCGTCGTGGTTGTTGTTGCTGTTGTTGTTGTTGTTGAACTCTCATGTCGGAAAATTTTTTATTGCTCACCCCCCACCGGTGCATACTGTTTTTCTCAATCAACGTGTGCCCCTCGACGCTCGCATTTTTTTTGACAGGGAAAGTCTTGATGCTCAAACTGTGCCCCTGGCCCCCGGGTTACAATAACAACGGCTCCCGCCTGAGACTTCTTCCTCACAATTTAAACAAGACCCCGCTCCCGCCCGAGACTTCCTCGCATTTGCATTCAGGAATCGCGCTCTCGCGTGGGACTTCCTTACCATTTATTCAGGAATCGCTCTCGCGCTCTCGCTGGAGATTTGTTTGCAATTTATTGACGAAAAGCGCCCTTGCGTTGGAATTTCTTGCAATTTACTGAAGCGCCGCGCTCCCGACACCCAGGCACCCAGGAGGCGCGCTCACGCTTAGGACTCCCTCACAGATTACCTAGGAATCGGGACCTCGCTGCCCTTCGTGGCCCCGTTACAGCCCTTCGTGGCCCTCTCGTTTTGTTTCGTGGCCCCGTCGCAACCCTTCGTGGCCCCCTCGCTGCCCTTCGTGGCCCCGTTGCAGCCCCTCGTGGCTCCGTTGCAGCCCTTCGTGGCCCCGTTGCAGCCCTTCGTGGGCCCCTCGCTTTGTTTCGTGGCCCCGTTGCAGCCCTTCGTGGCCCCCTCGCTGCCCTTTGTGGCCCCGTTGCAGCCTTTCGTGGCCCCGTTGCAGCCCTTCGTGGCCGATTCGTGGCCCCCTCGCTCCCCTTCGTGGCCCCGTTACAGCCCTTCGTGGCCCTCTCGCTTTGTTTCGTGGCCCCGTCGCAGCCCTTCGTGGCCCCCTCGCTGCCCTTCGTGGCCCCGTTGCAGCCCCTCGTGGCCCCGTTGCAGCCCTTCGTGGCCCCGTTGCAGCCCTTCGTGGGCCCCTCGCTTTGTTTCGTGGCCCCGTTGCAGCCCTTCGTGGCCCCCTCGCTGCCCTTTGTGGCCCCGTTGCAGCCCTTCGTGGCCCCGTTGCAGCCCTTCGTGGCCCCGTTGCAGCCCTTCGTGGCTCCGTTGCAGCCCTTCGTGGGCCCCGTTGCAGCCCTTCGTGGCCCCCTCGCTGCCCTTTGTGGCCCCGTTGCAGCCCTTCGTGGCCCCGTTGCAGCCCTTCGTGGCCGATTCGTGGCCCCCTCGCTCCCCTTCGTGGCCCCGTTGCAGCCATTCGTGGCCTCCTCGGTGCCCTTCGTGGCCCCATATATGTATGCCATTCGTGGCGCCCGCCTGTTCGCGCTCGTGGTGGCCCCATATGCATGCCCTTCGTGGCCCCGCTGCTGCCCTTCGTTACCCCCTCTATGCCTTTCGTGGCCCCGTTGCTGCCCTCAGTGGCCCCGTCCTTGCCCTCCGCGGCCCAACATACGTATGCCCTTCTTGGCCCCCGCTCGTTCGCGCCCGTTGTGGCCCCATGTGCATGCCCTTCGTGGCCTCGCTGTCGCCGTTTGTGGCCCCCTTGCTACCCTCAGTGGCCTCGTCGTTGCCTTTTGTGGCCACGCATTGTATGCCCTTCGTGGCCCCCGCTCGTTCGCGCTCTTCGTGGCCCCATACGCATTCCCTTCGTGTCCCCGCTGTCGCCCTTCGTGGCCTACTTCGTGTCCTTCGTGGCCCTGCTCTGCTGTCGTGCTCTCTCGCTCTCGCTTTCGCTTTCGCATGTCGTCGTCGCCGTCGTCGTCGTCGCCGTCGTCGTCGACGTCGTCGTTGTGGTCGGTCCCCCATCCGTCCCTCTTGGGGTCGGGTCGACGGTCCGCGGCCGCCCCGCCGATCAGCGCTACCGCTGGCCAGGTCGACGGTCCGCGGCCGCCCCGCCGCTTGCCGGGGCCCGGCCTGCAAGGAAGCAAGGTAAACCCCGCAAAAGGGGTTCGATCGAAGACGAAGAGCGCGGGTATCGAGGGTTTGGGAAATACGCGTGCTTTGGGTTTGGGAAATACGCGTGATACGTTTGGTGTTATTGTTGTTGTTGTTGTTGTTGTTGTTGTTGTTGTTGTTGTTGTTGTTGTTGTTGTTGTTGTTGTTGTTGTTGTTGTTTGTTGTTGTTGTTGTGTATCGTAGTAGTAGTAGTAGTAGTAGTAGTAGTAGTAGTAGTAGTAGTAGTAGTAGTAGTAGTAGTAGTAGTAGTAGTAGTAGTAGTAGTAGTAGTAGTAGTAGTAGTAGTAGTAGTAGTAGTAGTAGTAGTAGTAGTAGTAGTAGTAGTAGTAGTAGTAGTAATAGTAGTAGTAATAGTATTAATTGTTGTTGTTGTTGTTGTTGTTGTTGTTGTTGTTGTTGTTGTTGTTGATGATTATGGTGGATCCCTCTGCCTGGTAACCATTGTTGTGCTCAATTCAAGTGTTTCTCCCGGGGCTCGCAAAAAAGGTTGCCAAATGGGGTTGTTGGGCCCCGAACTACAGCAAAAACGGCTCCGCCTGATAGTTCCTCACAAGTCAATCCCAAAGGGGGAATCGGTGCTGGGGGGTCGGCGGGTCGGTCGAGCGTGCGTTTTCAGAGCGGGGGTTGCACCCGATGATCTCTAGTCTCCAGTCCTGGTGTAAATGGGAGATACCCTCTTGGGAACCACGCTCGACGAGACTGAAGACACAATTCATAGCTGGGGCAATCTTTCTGAAGCGTCGCAGGACTCTTGCCCGTATGGGGGTGCGCCACCCCCGCAGAGGAAAAATGTAACGTTCTAACACAGGCGACCCATGCCCGAGAAATGTTGTGTATCAGCGGGGCATGTTGATTGTTTCAAGCGTAATATGGCTAGAACAACCATTGTGTTTTCGTTACCCAACCTGGAGCTCACAGGCAGCTTGATTCGTGCCATAGTGCACTCTCACTCACACCGCCTTTGTCGTTGACCGTTGACCCCCCCTGGGTGCTGCTGCCGTCGCCCTCATCGCTGCCCAATGTCAACATGTGTGACCATTCGAACTCTGCAGCGGTGTCGGGATATTCGAGGCAGTTGGGGCGTTCCAGGAAGGCGTATGCACAGCCCGAACCCGTCGAACTCCTCTTGGTGCTAGTCTGCAAGTCAATCCCTCATTGCGACATGCATGCAGCAGATGTGTGCTCGTTTTCCGATGCTCGTTTTCCGACGTGCCGCAGGGCACGCTTGCGGCCGTTTTGCCAGCGAAGGCGCACGAAGCCACTTCGCTGCGGCTGTGCCCCCACAGACCTGCTTAGCATCAATGGGCGCCGCAATCGGCGGCGATCCATGTGAGGGAAGCATTCGATAGCAACAAGGCGCTCTCTCCCGCACCGCATTGCGATCATCTCTTTTCAACCATCCGTCTCTTCATTTCCACGTCTCTCTGGGTCTGGGTTGGCAGATTCTTGACGCTTCGTGTATCCAAGCCAGTCCATTCAGAAACAATGCCCACGAGAGTTGCCTGGAGGAGAAGCGTAGGTAAGCATGTTGCGAAACAGGGATGCCAACAATGTGATCGTTTTTGTGATTCATGGTTTTGCCGATCGGCGTGGGCCCTCGCACCCCTCCCATGCAGTAGATCTTGGCTGTTTTTGGCGCCTGTTTCGAGCAGGTGGAGTCTCCCCCACAATGGACGCCCTGATGCAATCAGTTGCATGAAGCAGAGGTCCGGAGCCAGACCCCCTCCCCACTCCCACCCAATGTCGAAACGCCGAATAAGAAAACGTCCACCAGAGATGCCAACAAAGGTGAAGGCAGAGATCTCGGGGAGCCTCGCTGTATGCATTGTGGGGCCCTCTCGGGGTGGGGTCGCCCCTGTCTCCGAAGATTTTTGTTTTTTTTGATCCGCGGGTCGAGAGCGCACCTCTTCCGGTCGAAGCTAAGCGGGCTGCGCACAGCTTGAATTGACGAGAGGGGGGCAGAAGGAGGGGCCTCACATGAAGGCCAGGAGGGGCAAAGCCCTGGAATCAGGCGGTGCCGAGGACAAGGAGTGGGGAGGAAACGGATGAGGAGGAAGATCGGGGCGAGCGATCGTTTTCTTATTCCTTGTTTTGCCGAGCGGCCTGGGCCCTCGCCCCCCCCCCCCCCCAGTGCGTAGCTCCTGGCTGTTTTTGGCGCCTGCTTCGAGCAGGTGGGGTCTCCCCCCCACAGGACGCACTGTAAACAGTCGCATTGAGCAGAGGTCCAGAGCCAGACCCCCCCCTCCCCTCCCCTTCCGCCCAATGTCGAAACGCCGAACAAGAGAACGTTCACTAAGGAGATGGGAGGAGAGAGTTAGGCACAGGATGGAGTAGAAGGGAGCTGCCGAAGACGACGACGACAATGACGATTTAACCACACAGCCTTCGTCGTAAGTCACTTTGCTGCGCCACATGCTATTCCCGCAGCAGCAACCTGGCTTCGAGCAGGCCCACGCCTCCGTCTGCCACGTTGTTCCATGGGCGGCTATGGGCCAGGGTACCGCCATCTTGAGCCATCTTGGGCTATCGCGTGTCATCTTAGGGCCCGCCATGGGCTATCTGGGGCGCGTTTGAAGGAATCTGGGGCCATCTTGGACGCTCTTATGTGTCGTGGCCTTTTCCCTTCCAGACCCAAGGGAGAGACGACCCCAGCAAAAACGGACCACCCCGTCCCACCGCCCTTCGGCCACACCACTTGCGTGTTGCTACCCCGTCTTGGCCTCGGCGAGGCAAGACAGGGTGAGGCGACTCCAAGGGAAGACGCGTGCTCCTCTGCCGTCTTGGCTCAAACAAGCACGCCCTATTCCACGGCGCATGCCTGTACGCCCTACTCGAGAGGAAAAGGCCCGCCCAATCTTCGGTTTCATCTGTACACTGGGGGCGCGCATCAAGTCACCATCTGCTTTCCGTAAGGGTATCATGGGTTTCTTCGCTCCTCGCGCTGCGCGGTGACTTCCCGCAGCCGTTGAAGGAGCTGCTGCGTTCAGGGTGCTCCAGGTTTCCCCTCAGGTGCACCTCGTGCACGGGTTCTCAGGGTTGGGTTTCTCGCGAGGGTTTCTTGCGGCCGCGCCCGCACTGTACATCCCATCCTGAACCGTTCGTTGATGTAACCGGCGTTGTACCATGTGGCTTTACCACGTTGCTTCCGACTTGGCAGCCTAGTTTGCCGCACTGTCGTGTGGTCAACTCCCATATTAGGTCTACTCCTGCTACTCTTTGGCACGATCCATGTGACGGTTACCACTCCCGTCTATGAGCCTACCCTCCTTCCGCGACTCCGCGGATCTATTCCAGGCGAGCCTGGAATCCAGCCGGACGTAATCGAATCGGGCCGAGGGGTTCAACGTGCTTTCACGAGTGAAGTATTTCAAACCGAAAGATATAATTTGTTTCCAATGATCGCGGTAGAGCTCCCTATGGGGCCACGAAACGTGTGAGGGGTGTGCCGAAATATGGGGGGAACCGCATGCGAAACTTGCCGCTGGGGCCTTCGGTGGAGCTCCTTATGGGGCCACGAGGCGTGTGAGAGAAGTGCCGAAATGGGCGGGGAACCGCATGCGAACCCTGCCACTGGGACATGGGCGGGGAACCGCATGCGAACCCTGCCATTGGTGCCGTCGGTGAGCTCCCTATGGGGCCACGAAGCGTGTAAGGGTTGTGCCGAGATGGGCGGGGAACCGCATGCGAACCCTGCCACTGGGGCCTTCGGTGGAGCTCCCTATGGGGCCGCGAAATGTGTGAGGGGTGTGCCGAAATGGGCGGGGAACCGCATGCGAGCCCTGCCACTGGGGCCTTCGGTGGAGCTCCCTATGGTGCCACGAAGCGTGTGAGGGGTGTGTCGAAATGGGCGGGGAACCGCATGCGAGCCCTGCCGCTGGGGCCTTCGGTGGAGCTCCCTATGGGGCTTCGAAGTGTGTGAGGGGTGTGCCGAAATGGGCGGGGAACCGCAATGGAACACTGCCACTGTGGCCTTCGGTGGAGCCCCCTATGGGCCACGAAGCGTGTGAGGGGTGTGCCGAAATATGGGGGGAACCGCATGCGAGCCCTGCCGCTGGGGCCTTCGGTGGAGCTCCCTATGGGGCCACGAGGCGTGTAAGGGGTGTGCCGAAATGAGCGGGGAACCGCATGCGATTCCTGCCACTGGGGCCTTGGGTGAAGCTCCCTATGGGGCCACGAAGCGTGTGAGGGGTGTGCCGAAATGGGCGGGGAACCGCATGCGAACCCTGCCACTGGGGCCTTCGGTGGAGCCCGTATGGGGCCACGAGACGTGTGAGGGGTGTGCCGAAATGGGCGGGGAACCGCATGCGAACCTTGCCACTGGGGCCTTCGGTGGAGCTCCCTATGGGGCCGCGAAGCGTGTCATGGGTGTGCCGAAATGGGCGGGGAACCGCATGCGAACCCTGCCACCCTTCGGTGGAGCTCCCTATGGGGCCGCGAAATGTGTGAGGGGTGTGCCGAAATGGGCGGGGAACCGCATGCGAGCCCTGCCGCTGGGGCCTTCGGTGGAGCTCCCTCTGGGGCTTCGAAGTGTGTGAGGGGTGTGCCGAAATGGGCGGGGAACCGCAATGGAACACTGCCACTGTGGCCTTCGGTGGAGCCCCCTATGGGCCACGAAGCGTGTGAGGGGTGTGCCGAAATATGGGGGGAACCGCATGCGAGCCCTGCCGCTGGGGCCTTCGGTGGAGCTCCCCATGGGGCCACGAGGCGTGTAAGGGGTGTGCCGAAATGAGCGGGGAACCGCATGCGATTCCTGCCACTGGGGCCTTGGGTGAAGCTCCCTATGGGGCCACGAAGCGTGTGAGGGGTGTGCCGAAATGGGCGGGGAACCGCATGCGAACCCTGCCACTGGGGCCTTCGGTGGAGCCCGTATGGGGCCACGAGACGTGTGAGGGGTGTGCCGAAATGGGCGGGGAACCGCATGCGAGCCCTGCCACTGGGGCCTTCGGGAGAGCTCCCTATGGGGCCACGAAGCGTGCGAGGGGTGTGCCGAAACTGGTGATGACGATGATGATGATGACAGGAGGAGGGAGGGGGCAGCGGGAGGAGGAGGAGGAGGAGGAGGAGGAGGAGGAGGAGGAGGAGGAGGAGGAGGAGGATGAGGAGGAGGAGGAGTGACGCGGGGCGCAGTCTCTCCAAAACGGGGACCCAACACCACAGGATGGTTTGGAAAAAATGCGGTGGCCGCATGCGAACGCTTACACTTGGGCCTTTGGTGGGGCTCCCTATGAGGCCAGGACACGTGTGAGGGGTGTGCCAAAATGGTTGACCGGGTCGGAGCAGATGCAGGGACCAGAGGAGGAAGGGGAGGGAGGAGGGGGAGGAGGAGGAGAGGAGAGGAGAGGAACGCGAGAAACGACTCCTCAAAACGAGGACCCAACACCACAAGATGGTTGGGGAAAAATGTGGGGAGTGGGGGGGCTTCTGGTTGGGGTGGTCCACAGAGGGGGGTGCAGCTCGCCTGCAGAGGCTGCGGGAGAGAGGGGGGCTTGGGGAGAGGAGCTTCTGGCTGGGAAGCGCAAGGGGGGGAGGAGGGCTTCGCTTCTGTGGAGCGACAGACAAGGGGGAGGTGAAAAGGAGGGGGACAATTGCTTACAGGGGTCGCAGGGGGGGAGGTGGGGGGGGGCTTCTGGCAGGTGTGTCACCGGGAGCTTGCAGAACGCAAGCAGAAAGGGCGAGGGGGGGGGAACTTCCTACAGGGGAGGTCCGATGGGAGGGAGGTAGAAAAGGTAGCTAGGGGGGGACACCCCCGGCGCTGTCTCCCGTGGAGCGCGCGCTCTCTCTCTCTCATGTGTATGTGTGTAGGCGCAGGGCCAGATTCGTAAGTCCAGCAGGGTTGCTGGTTGCTTGGGAGGGGGAGGTGCTGAAACCCAGGCTCATAGGTCCGCGATCGTCTCATAAAAGCAGCCATAGCAGGAGGCGTGGCCCGGTGGAAGGGCCACACGACACTATGTCAAACTAGTTGTTTGAGCCTTGAGCTTCAATATTGTGACCTGTTAGGGGCGTCTCAATCGAAACGCCTCGCCCGACCAATGGACGCGTCTGGTGGTACGACATGGGGGAATTCTTCATGCATGCGAGGGAAGGAGGAGGAGAAGGAGGATGAAGAGCAGGAGGAGGAGGAGGAGGAGGAGAGGAGGAGGAGGAGGGAGGGGAGAGAGGATAGGGGAGGAGGAGGAGGAGGATGAGGAGAGGGAGGAGGAGGGGAGGAGTAGGAGGAGGAGGAGGTAGGAGGAGGAGGAGGAAGAGGAGGAGGAGGAAGGGAGGAGGAGGAGGATGGGGAGAGGAGGAGGAGGAGGAGAAGGGAGGAAGGAGGAGGATGAGAGAGGAGAGGGGGGAGGAGGAGGGAGGAGGGGGCCGAGAGGGAGGAGGAGGAGACGAGAGGAGGAGAGGAGGAGGAGGAGGAGGGGAGGAGGGGGAGGAGGGAGGAGTGCGGAGGCGGAAGGAGAGGAGGGGGAGGGGAGGATGAGAACCCCATTGGGGGAGGGGCCCTCTGGGAGGGAAGGGGTGAGGGGAGGGGGGAGGGGGGGGGGATGGGGGAGGGGGAGTGGGAGGGGGAGGAGGGATGAGGAGGAGGAGGGGAGGCGGAGGAGGAGGAGGATGAGGAGGAGGAGGAGGACGGAGGAAGGGAGGAGGAGGGGATGAGGAGGAGGAGGAAGGAGAGAAGGAGGAGGAGGAGGAGGAGGAGGGGCGGAGGAGGATGAGAGGAGGGAGGAGGAGGAAGGAGGGAAGGAGGAGGAGGATGGGGAGGGGGGAAGGGGGGAGGAGGAGGAGGAGGGGGAGGGTGAGGGGGAGGGTGAGGGAGGGGAGGGGGATGGGGGAGGGAGGAGGGGGGAGGCATGTAGGTACGGAGGAGGAGGAGGAGGATGAGATTGAGGATGGAGGAAAAGAGGGGAGGATGAGGACGGAGGGACGGGTAAGGAGGAGGAGGAGGAGGAGGAGGGGTTCTGACCCGCTGTGACGTCTTTGGCCACGGTCGTTTCGGCCTCAGGAGAGGTCCCTAGGATTCCCCGGGGGGAAAAAAAAAAAAAAAAAAGCCTCTCAGGACGGTGGAGGATTCAGGCTCTTTGGCGCTTCTGGCCTTGCTCAGGACTCCAGGGCTGCGTCTCTCCCCGCGCGCGGGGGGCGACGCCGTGGCTCGCGGGTGGGGGGGTGGGGGGAGGCAGGCCAGGCACAGGGCAGTCGGTTGGCAACTGGCGCCCCCAGCTCGTCCTCCAGCTCGGCCTCCAGCTCCGCCTCCAGCTCCGCCTTCAGCTCCGCGTACAGCTCCTCCTCCATTTCTCCTTATTAGTCTAGTCTCCCTCCCCTCTAGCCTGCCCCGCCCTCCGCCTTCCTCGTCCTTCTCGCCTCCTCCCGCCCCCCTTTCCCCACCCCGTCTCTCCTCTCACCTCCCTCCTCGCATCGCTCCCCCCGTCCTCTCTCCATTCCGCCCTTCCCCCCTACCTCCCTCCCCCCTTCCTCCCCGATGCGACGAACACTCAGGATGTTGGCGCCAAAGAGGGGTTGTCAGGGAGGCGTCCCCCCCCTCCCTCTATGCTGCTGCCCCCTCCAGCTCCCGCCGGCTCCTCCTCGCCGCCGCGCTGCCGTATTCTGAGCTCGAGTCCCTTTGACCTGCCGGCGAAAGCCCCGAGACAGCAAGACACCGTCGTCTCTCCGCAGCCATGGCGGCGCCTGTCGCGCTCGTGTGCACCCGGTGCCGCAGGGCGGGCCACGCGGCCAAGGACTGCCAGGTCCTGAGCTTCACGCGCAGGACGCCGGCCGAGCTCCGAGCAGAGCGGCTGGCGAAGCGCGCCGAGTGGGAGGAGAGGCAGGCCGAGAGGCAGGCGAGGCGTGCCGAGTGGGAGGAGAAGCAGGAGAGGTGGCACTCGAGGCAGGCGCAGCGCGAGAAGGAGCAGGAGAGGTGGGAGCTGTGCAGCCAGGCCACGGACGCCTCCACGGCGGCGACGACCGCGGCGATGACGCCCGAGGACGAAGAGGAGGTCGAGCGCCGCGTGGCCGCGGACAGGGCCGTGCGGCGGCACGAGAAGGCGCTGCGCGAAATCGCCAGGCTGGAGGGCCGCGGCGACCTCGACGCGCTGCAGAGGGCCAAGCTGCAGCGCCGGCCCGAGGTGGAGGCCGAGCTGTCGACCGCCAGGGGGCTCGCGGGGGCCCTGGCCCGGAACGAGCTGCGGCGGGCCGCCCGGGCGCGAGTGCAGTGGGGCCGCCAGCCGCCGGCGCGCGGCGGGCGCCGTGAGGGTGCGATGTGCAGTGCGTAAATGCCCCCCTTTCTTGTGCAGCCAGGGGGCGTGTGCGATTGCGTCCTGTCTTCAGAGTGCGTTCGGCCAGAGTGCCTTCGGCTGGCCTCGGGCGCAGGCAGAGGCGCGATCCGCCTCGTGCGGGAGCTCTTCTTCTGGCCGCGAGAGGTAGCGGCATACTGTGTGGTGAGTTGTGTTTTGTGTGTGTGTGTGTGTTTGTGTGTGTGTGTGTTTTGTGTGTGAAGTCAGCTGTTCGAGGGTCTCGTTGCGATATTTCCACCGCCGCCTGGTTGCACTGTGTACCAGGACTCGGCGGACGACCGTTCACGTGCGAGTCAGCCGACGAAAGGCAGCGCACCCTGACTGCCTCGCGCCGTCCTTTACGGCTGCCTGTTACAGATATGGCGCGTAGGGCAGTGCTACGTTGCGAGTGGCAGGGTAAGAGGCAATCCGTGGGCGCTTCGCCGCATCCACGTCAGGCCCATCCCGAAAGCTACCCGTCGTCTTGGAGGGGTAAGCGGGAGGATTCATGTTTTCCTGGTGTCAAGGGTATTTGTGTTTTTGGCGTGCGAGGGTTTCTTCAGTGTTTTGACGGTCCCTGAAGTTTCCCCGAGGATTTTTTTACAGAGTCCAGGGACCTCTGAAGATCCCTCAGGATCCTTCAGCGTTCCCAGAAATCTTCGCGATTCCCCAGGATTCTCCAGGATCCCTCAGGGGTCCTTGGGTTTCATGAGAGTTCCTCAGGATTCCTCTGGGTTCACCAGGAGTCCTTCGGGTTCTGCGGGCGGGTTCTTCAGGTTTTATCAAAGTTCTTTTCAGATTTCTCGGAGTTCCTATGGATTCTCCAGAAATCCTTAGCATTCCCATGGGTTCTTGTCTTACTGATCCTTGAGGATCCCCGAGGACTCCAGAGGCCGAAGGATTCCTGACGGTTTTTGCGTGTTCCTAAACATTTCTAAGACTCCTTAGCATTTCCAAGGACCTGAGGATTCCTACGGGTTCCCATGGGTTCTTGAGGATTCCGAATGGTCCCTGAGGATCCCTGAGGATTCATGGATTCGGAGCGATTCCCTGGCATCCTCAAAAAAGAAGGATTGCTCGGGACTGCGCAGAAATCCTGTGGAATCGCAGAGATTTCCTGAGGAGTCCGTGGGTTCATGTGGATTCCCATTGATTCCTACGGATTCCAGAGGGTTCATGAGAGTTCTTTTGAATTCCTGAGGATCCCTAGGGATTCCCCTGGTTTCCGTAGCATTTCCGAGGATTCCTGGAGAGGATCCTTTATGATTTCTGAACAGGAGCCTCGCCGAAGGCGGGACCTGCTCAGGCCACCAGGAAGATAGCTGTCATGCGTCATGCTATGTGTGAGTACGCGCAGAGCCATACCTGTGAACCGATCAGGGCTGATTGGTTGCTAGTTGCCGTGGGTGAGAAGAGTTGCTGAGGACCGGGGCCCTAGGTCCGTGGTCGTCTCTTGAGGACAGCCGCGGCAGGTGTGGCACAGCAGACGGGCCACGAGGTCAGAGTCGACCTAACTGGTGGGGTTCTCTAGCTTCAGGATTGTCACTTGTGCGGACGTCTCAATGGCCTGCGGACACGTTTGGTGGTAAGACAAGAGGGGGGGGGATTTTGTGAAGGCGAAGGTGGAGAAGGAGGAGGATGATGAGCAGGAGGACCGAGGACCGAGGGACGAGGACCGGGGACCAAGGACCGAGGAGCGAACACCTAGGAGCGATGAGCGATGATGATGATGATGATGATGATGATGATGATGATGATGATGATGATGATGATGATGATGATGATGATGATGATGATGGTGATGATGAT